GAGAGAGAGAGAGAGAGAGAGAGAGAGAGAGAGAGAGAGAGAGAGAGTCGAAACGATATGGCCCACAACTGGAAACGAACGAGATCATGAAAATTAATGATGCAAATAAATAAATGTACTGTTCTGGAAAATTCAATGTACACGCTCATTGATTTAAAACGCATTTAAGTTCAAATACAATTCGGCAAAATGGGAAAAGTGAAATTCACCTCCTCGTTCGTTCGTTCGTTCGTTCATTCGTTTCGCCAACTTTGCACAAAATCATTGCATGCACACGGGGCTTTGCCTCTAAACAACAGCACAAACAAACAAAAAATAAACCCGACTAGCAAAACAGGAAAAGCTGTTGTATGGCATAAACACAAATTGAATAGGGATATTGCCAACCAAAAAGATGTACTAAATTAAGTCGTTCAACATGTGTAAATCTTATCTAATGTACTTAAAATGCTATTCAACAAAAACACTCGAAATCAGTTTGAATGGGAAAAGTGAACAGAGAAAGAGAGAGAGAGGGAGAGATCGAATAGAGCCATCCTCCAACTCTCCGAATGCAGATAGAGACGTGCACAATGCTCTCGATACCGTTGCGGATTGTTTCGATAAGTCGGATAATTGAATGTTACAGAGATAAGGCAAATTGTTTCCATTTTGTGAACGTATGTGTGTGTGTATGGATTTTGATCGATGGATTGAGATGTACTCAAACATATGTGCAAATATCTTGCATCGATGAAGATCTTTCTCTATCTCTCTATCGCTTCTTCAATTTTTCCCTCAATCTCTCCCAGCTCAATCCCTGTCTCTCTTTCGCTTGCTCGCTCGCTCGCTCGCTCGCTCTCTATTCAAAATGTCTCGATTCAGGATGTTGTCACCGTTTTACTGGTGGTGGTGAGCTTCAAAACAGTTCAGTTCGTGCAATCGGATTTTCCAAACTCTTAATCAATTCCATAACGGAGGCAAAAATTTGCATCGAAACCCACAACAACACGACCGCAAAATTGGCAATTGGCTTCTCCGACGGCAAATCAATCGGTTCGATTGAAGCTTACTTCGGCATTTCCATTCACAAGCGAGAGTGAACAAGCGAAAACAACAGAAGAAAATAAAATACCGAGTAATGTAAGTAGTTGAAATCGTTGAAACTTATTTTCGCATTTTCCCATTCAATTTGCTTAATTTTCTTCTGAGCTAAGTAATCTTTGCTGACTAAAATTTCAACTGACGAACATACATTTTGAACTTAACTCCCGGAAGGAAAAACCCATTGATTCTGTATTTTAAATACTTAGTTTAAATGCATGCAACAAATGCGAACTGGATAATAAATTTAGAATGAATTGATTTGAAACGTGTGCCACGAGTTTCGGCTCAATTAACAGACCCAAATAGAGATTTAGTTATGTGCTCAGGTAAAAATCTTTTTTTTTTGGTCTTTCACTCGCTCACTCGCTCTGCTTTTCAATTTTGCCGTCGAAATCTGCCAATACATATGTAAAACAGTTTCAGCTCTACTTGATCCGGAGCAACCGTCGCTTTTCACCGTCGATTGTTTAATTCAATTCACTGAAATAATTATGTACCGTGTGACTATGATAATAATCACTGAAACGTATTCACTGAATAGCATTTACAATGAGTGGCGTCTTGCCGCCGCACGACATATTGTATTTTTTGCTGTTGTTTCATTTCGTTCAATTTCCATTCCATTTTTCCGAATGGCCATTAATCCGCTCAATGTTGTTGGTGCACTACACGACAGAATCAACAATTAAAATGGTCTGTTTTAGCTTTGAGCGCACATTGAATACGATGCCGCCGCTATGCTGCGGCCACTTTAAATAATGGCATTTTTTCTTCTTTGAGAAAATAACCTCAATTTTTACGAATTCCATTGAATATTTTCGAAAGCAGAAAGGAAATAAAGAATAAAGTAAGTAACGACGGTATTTGAGGTTCAATGTTATCAATGGAGGCTCTATATAACACCCGTGGGCAACCAATTGATTGCCGAAGATTTTCATCATTGAAAAAAAAAACAGTAACTCTTTCATTTTACAAAAGATTTATTTTGGTTGAAGATTTTTGACGATAAGTATGATAGACTTAGACTGTTTTAAAGAATCAACGATTTTTTTCATTCAGAAATAGAAATTTGTGACTGTAGTTGACGTTGTGTCGATTGAATTGTATGGATTTCGTTTTATCTATTGAAAAATTCTCAAACTTTCAAATTTGAATGAAGATATCCATTCCAACTGATGAATAAAATG